GTATTTCTTGACTTTGGGTATTGTGACGTGTACCGAACAGCATGTGCTAATACCACTGTCACACTAACGAGACCGATACCAGACTGACAACAGGCCGAGACAATATAGGCTAGGCATATCACCCCCAATTACCAAGTTTGGAGTTGCGGTGTAGTCGGCTTGACGGTGTGACTGAGCTATAATGACTCTCTATACAGGCTTTACAATATAGCCTACATCGCGTTTGATTTATGATATGCAAATATACAAATATCCCTATCAGGCCTTGCTAAAGTAAAGACATTATTATCCTCCTTTCGGCCTAGCATTGTGCGCCTCTCGAAATAGATATGAATGATTGTCGAAAAGATAGAGTAGGCTTTGGGCTTTGTTAAATATCCTTTAATCAGTGCAAGTATTGATTCAATCTGTTCTCATGTTAGTAAGATAATACTCAATCATTTTCCTTTTTCCTTTTCTCTCTTAAGACGGAGGAATCCTTTAAAGCAACTACGAAATCAAAGCTGCATTTTGGTATCCGCAAATGCTTTTATCAAATGCTTATTAATGAAGTATCTTGTAAATTACAGCCATGTATATCAGGCGAATCTATGTCTGCCTTGAATATTGAATAAATATTATGTTTTATTACAGTTATTATAATAATCAGTACTTGTAAATTTGCACCAGCATAATAATTATAAGGAGTCAACTATTCTGCTGCAATATGTTCCAGTATTCTATACACTGGTCACTGGAAGTTCAAAGTATTATACCCAGACTTGTGTTCCTAACAATCGGTTGGACGGGATATATAAAATGATTCATCCACCCTTCCCTATAATTCTAAGAATAATCGTCTTGACACTTGGTTAAAAAAAAAATGTTTGAATTGTTCATAGAAAAATGATGAAGCAGCAGGGTTCTTCTAGTCATGAATTAGATTATAAATCGACTTCAATGACAATAGAAAGGGGGAAATAATTGATTGAAAGGAAGACGAAGATTTGTATTTTTAAAATTAACAAAGCGAGAATCAGAAATCATTACGGTTGGCGGGAATTCTACATAGTTGCAGCAGGCCTGCTCAACACACTATTGATAACAGCCCACGCCGAGTCGCGTGCCGACCAGCCTTCCGTAAACCACAGTGTCGGAATTTCCTCGCCCGCCTCTCTCTCCCTATCTTCGTTTGTTCTTCTTTGTTATCTTTTCATAGCGATACTGCCATAGACACCTTTGATCTGATGCTAATGAAGTGCAATAAATGATTTTAGAAGAGGGAGAAAAAATACATTACTAATCTTTGAGCGTGCTTTGAGGTTATAAACACACTGCAGACATGCGCTGGTAGTGTTTGCATGAGAGAGAGAGAGAGAGAGAGCCAGAGAGAGGGGGTCTGCTGCCAGTTGCGCGCGTGAGTCAGTGATTTTGAATAGCGCGGGTTGCATGGCCCGAAGTACAAAAGAAACATTTCTTACTTCGTCGATTTCTGATAAAGCAGCGTGAATGAATTAGATCAAAAAGAAATAAATCAACAAAAGGGGGGACGTTAACTTTACAGAGTTTCGGGAGGATAAAAAAAAACGGTAGAGAGTTTGAAACAAGCAAGGAAACGCGAAGCAGATGAGAAATGCAGACGACGCGTTTGGGTCTACTTCACAAGTTTTCGCGGGAAAATGCAATTGAAATAAGACAATGCTCCGGTCATTATGGAAAGAGTGATGCATCAAAAAGACGATAAAATAAGTAGTTGCTTCGCTTCTATCGAGGTTATATTCTTCAACAGAATTTGTTATCCGATTAGATTAGAGGCACAAATCTCTGTAATCGGATGCTTCTTGTCTGTAATTTCAATGCGAATCCAATCCCCCTTTTAACCGCCTAATCCGGAAAGGCCTTTAAATAAAATGGCACAAACAATCGACAACAAAAGGAACGGATAAATAGAATGGATACCAAAGTGATGAAAACACGGAGCAACAATGTTAAGAACCGTTGAATATTAGCTCTTCATCTCGTCCTCTTTGGCCGTAATTACAGTGGTTTTTAAAACTTCTGCACTGATTGATTCTAAGGAGGGTCATCCACCTTGAATCAGTTGTTCTGGTGTGTGTAAGGGTCTTGGTATGCAGGGGAAGTCCCCTTGTGGTGGCATCAGACGATGGTCACACAAAAGAGACATTCCACTCTTATGACATCTTTGATTTAGTTGAAGAAAAACATCTTTTAGCCCTCCAAACATTTTGCTAAGGATTTCTCAAAGCAGAAACGGTTTATAGGCTTAGACATAATTCATATAAACGTACAATGTGTACTATCATTTAAATCTTAAATCTGATAAGTTTGATCAAACATTACAGAGAAGAGATGAAAATGACTACCAATGAGATCAAACCAAAAATAAAGTTATCCTCAAATGATAAATGTTGACACTGTGGAGGTAGGTTGTTCAAAAGACGTAAAGCGTATGAGACCAGTCGCGGCAATCTGGAATAAGTGGCTCAGTCAATCAGTCCGTGTTAATACCGTATGACAATGTTTGGAGTCACCATCCATCAAATCCCGTGTTAATCATCTATTTTCTCCCAACAACCCCTCTCTCTCCCCCCCCCCCCCCCCCTGTTCTTCCCTTTCATCTCCATCGTTCTCTCTCTCTCTCTCTCTCTCTCTCAATTTACCATGTTTCCTGCATTTGTCTGTGTCACTATGGTCATTAGTTAGTAAATTTACCTTTTTTCGTTCGTTGCAATTATTATATTCTTCACTATCAACTCTTTGTCCGTAAACTATACATTTATCAGTTGTACTCTGTCCATCTATATCTTTCTCCAAATTTTGTCTTTATACTTTTTCATTTCATTCTCATGCCTTTTCATTCCAACTAATCACACCCTTTCCACCTTTAACCTTCAATGGTCATTCTCTCGCTTACCTCACTCCATCTCACTATGGACCTACTACAAAGATCTCATCCTACTCCTCTCTATCTCTTCCTCCTTCGTTCGCTCCCTCTCTGCTCTATCTGTCTCTCCCACCCTCTATTTTCCTTTTCATTTTGACCATCTCTCTTTGTCTCTCCTTTTCCCTCCTCGCCCCCCCCCCCCCCCCCTCCCTCTCAGCTCAGCCCTCCCCTTCTCTTCTCCCGATTGCAAGCTTTCTTTCCGCCTCTCTGAATGATGAAGAATCACTCTTCAAGTAAATGATCTCTGACTGCCCTGTTAGTAAACCCTCTTCCGCTCATGAATAATGTGTGTACACGGCACACATCGAAGCATGGTCGAATCAAAGTCATTAGCAAAAACGGTTTCGTGTAAGACCTTAAGGTGGGATGTTATAGTATATATTTTGTTAGAAAAACTGTATATTTATAGGATCACGAGGTACATCCAAGCAAGACAGAATCAAAGTCATTAGCAAAATGGTTTCGTGCAAGCAAAAGATTCTATTCATATCCTTGTATACATTGTACAGGCTTTATATTTGTTACTTTATTTTCCTCTCATTTATTCAATTCTCAATAGAATGCATGGCAATGAAAACAAAATTTATAGCGTTTTTGCGAGGAAAAAACAAACAACATACACAAATTAATAAGAACTATGTGAAATAATCTTAAACATCTTTTGTAATTTGAAGACTGGAATTTGTTTAAAAGATTGACCGTGTCTCTAGGAAATCTAAACAGGATTTATTTTATTAAAATAATTCGATACCGCTATGTACTCGTATGTGTCACTTAAGTCTGCCATCCCTCTATTTATTGCCTAATATAAAAATGTGCCTACATTCCCTCGTTTTATTTGCCGTTATTTTTCGACGACATTCTAGATCGATTTTAAAAATAAGAAAATGTTTATGTTGTCTTAGTTCCAGCTGAGTGTTTCAAATATCATAACGCCCCCCCCCCCGCAAAATGGAGGGCAACCAAAACACATATTTAAAGAAATATTGTAATTTAAGAGTATACAGGAAAAGAGGGTATAAGACAAGAATAACAATTTTAGAAAAGTATAAAGTATGCCCGCTTTGGGACGCAAGATGCATCACTATAGCATGTTGGACGGGACGTGTGCGTCGTTGCATCGCCCGGAACTAAATCCTAACCACGATGAATAAATAAAGAGAAGATTGAAACAATCATCCCCCATCTTTCTCCGTTGCATTCCAAAATGGCTTGTGGCCTGAAGTCGAAATTTAAATGACCCTATTATCGCCGTGATATATCCTCGTCTGTTGATTGAATATCATAATTGCGAGGTTTCGAGCTAGATTAATTGGTTTAATCAATTATCAAGGAGCTGGGCCGCCCGTGTCGAGCGCTCGACGACCGGCCATCATTCCTTACCCAGTCCCACACCTGTCAAATTTTGTTGGGTATCACAAGAAAAAGGCCAACGATGTGTTGTCGCACTTCTGGGACGTGTAGACTGAGGCATTCACGGGTGGACGTAGGGGAATTTGAGATTGAAAATCTTCATCGAATGCTCAATCATATTCAAAACACCTGGGACCAATCGAACGGATTTGGATACCGGGCATGATTCGTCATTTCGGTTCACAGGAATCCTCACACTTTGGGTAGATGAATGCTGAAAGAAAGAAAGAAAAAAAGTTCCCTCCAAAGAATTTTTTTTCTCTCTTGATACTCTGGTGTCATGTTAGGGACTCTATCTCATATGTCAAAGGAACTCTGGTCTGGAAAGTGAAGCGTAAACATGTTTCTTTACCATCAGTCAAAGCAGTCTGCCGGAGGCTAAGCTCCTAACAATCCACTATTAACATGAAAGTATAGAAACATGAATTTGTATGATATTAATCATGGTAATATCGTACTCCGACCTACATGATTATATGAAATTGAGCAATCAGTTAACCCAGTTCACCTATATCATGACAAAAGTATATTTGGCATCTCATGTTTTAAAGTGAATGAACTTCTCTGATATTTTTATTCTTTAATATTTTTGTTAAAACTTTTGTTCTTAACATCGTGATTTTCCATCGACTTTTTTTTGCAGATGCGTTGGACCTGAGATTGCCAACCAATGGCGACATCAACCCTCATCACCGGTACCTCCTCGTCCAACCTCCCCAGTTATCATCACGGCCCTTCCCGTTCACCGACTCGTCGACGGCAGCCGTCCCGACCAAGCAACACAGTCCCACTCTCAGCATCGAGCAACGCCTCGCCGATCTCACCAACGCTCGTCGTCATCCAGGCATCCCTGTCCCGGCCAGCACAGCCGGTAGTCCACTCCCTGGTCGGCCGTCGTCCGCCGATGTCCCTTCTTCCGCGGTGCCGCTGACGTTGACCGTCCCGAAGCTGCACACCAATACGGCCAGTCCGAGGCTGAGGCCGGAGATGGCCCCGTTGACCATCGGCGATGTCAGTCCAACCAAGGCGGCCGGTTACCGGTTCCAAGGAGAGATTTCAAGCTATGATATTCCTTCACCTCCATCAAATGGTAAGCTTCGAGCTTTATGGAAATAATCTAATTTAAATCCTGTCTCGTCCCACTTATCTCCTGCACCGTTACAATTATAATTGCATCATGCACATTCCACCTCTCTCTCTCTCTCTCTCTCTCTCTCTCCCTCTCTCTCTCTCATGCTTCTCCCTCTTCCTCTCTCTCGTTTCTCGCGCTGTTTTCTCCCCTCATCATTCCATTTTCACATGATTTTACCTTGCGAAAGGTCATTGAATCTTTAATGCGTTAACATTTTTTAATTGCGAGCATAATCACATAATGGAAGTGAAGATGTTGTTTTAAAACGTAGTTGACAGAGTTAGCAAAGAACTGATAATTGGGCACACAGGGTGAACCCCCTGCATGCAATCATTTCCTAGGGCTAGGGTAGACAATAATCTCATATAATAACCATAAAGTGTAACGTGAGAGGCAGGCCCTTTGCGCTCTGGTTACCGCGAAATCAAACCTTATTTGATGATGCTTGTCAAATAAAGATTGCTCCCACCATTTCCATCTTGTCTCAATACATCTTTCTCTCTTCATTTACTCTACCCCCCCCCCTTCCCTTCCCTTTTACCGCCACAAGGGGAGTCACTTTGATTTCAAATTCCGCCACGCTTTCGCGCCCTCGCCAAGGCCTCGGAGCTAGCGTTTGCTCAAGGGAGAAAAGAACATCGCGTTTCAGAAGCAAGAAACAGCCGATAAATTTTTATCCTTTTTCATTCCAATTCGTTACCACACTGATTAGTTCCAAAATATCAGAAGCTGTGACGGGTGGACAGACACTGAATATATCTCAACTCGACGACGAGCGGTTTTCAGATTAAATCGAGGGAAAATGAGGGAGGAATAATTTCGGGTGCTCTTTATTTTGGGATAGGTCAAATGACTTAAAGATGCACTCCTAATCGTTCCCGTCACTATGGACTCTTAAGATAAAAAGGGCAAAAGGAATACTTAAAAAGGGATGATCAATGATGATGTAGTTCATGATCAAATCAGATAGATGGGCTAGAGCATATTGATGTGACCCCTTCAAACAAGAGGTATATTTACACAGATGGGGCAAAATTACATTCTTGCAACCGACATACTTATAAATAAATTGTACAGATAAGAGTACATCGAATGTCTTTTTAAAAAAAATAAAAAAATAAATGTTTGTCAACAGCTTTGAATTATATACGTTTACTGATTTCTGTGTACATATTTGGGAGAGTTATAGTAATCTTAGCATTTTTATGAATTGCATCATAAAATCCGCACTAAAATGTTCAGGATACCCCCCCCCCTCCCCCCCCCCCCCCCCAGGCACCCCCTCCTCCTTCGGAAAAACTACGAGTCTTAAGTACGTTCTATAATCCACCCTTAATGATGATGGGATGCATATATTATTATTTAAGTTTATGTTTTCTGAATTCAACTTCACACACTTCCAGTCAGAAAAATCTCTGCCATTTATTTTCGAGTCGGGCTATTTGGGGATGGCACGAATCAACCCTTTAAGGCAAAGAAAATTTATCTCTAAAAAAGAGTGGAAAAAGTGGGGAAGGACAGGAGGGGATAAGATGAACGCGCGTGAAAAATTGTGAGTTGGCCGCAGCGCAATTACAATGACAGGCCCGGCCGTTCCAAGCGACTGGACACGGCTGGTACGAGAGGGTTAGATTGACTTGTCTCGGAGCTGTCAAACCCTCTCTTTCTCGGCTCCCATCCGCTCCTTTTCTCTTTTCGTAATGGCGCGAGGACACGGAGAAACAATATTAATTGATTCGTTATTCTTTGGTTTCCATTTCCTTGATTTTTCCATCTCCCATTTGGATCCTCCTCAATACGCTAGTAGAGGTTAGACTATATTGCCAGGAGGGTGCAGCGTTATCTATTATTCATGGTGACGATGCAGGCGTGCGAGCATATGGGTGGGTGGACGAAGTGTGCGTTTGCTGTGTCGATGTCACATTTTCCCGCGCTTTAAAGATTCAGTGTTGTGATGACAATGATGACGATAATGATGATTGGAGAGGCGATTGATAATCGTTCATGATGAATAGCAGGTTAGGTCGAATGTTTATTCCAATCGCTAGTTGTTAATTATTGAAGTATTGATGACCTCCAACCGAAAGAAGAAAAAAAAACGACAAAACATATTCAGAATATTGACGAGAGAATAATGCATTTACTTAATCAGCACCATGCAGTAAGTCGACGGAGGAAATTGTTTGATGTACAATATTTCATGTAAAAATGAGCATGTTCACTTCACAACAAGATATCGATACAAAAACTGTATCTTACAATTGCCAAAGGTGTGTTTTTAAGAAAGGGAAAGTAATGAAGACGTACCAGTTTCGGCTTGCTTGCTTTAAACTTAAAGTCAATCACAATCATTTACATCTAAATCAAGAGAATCCAGTGGCAGACTCCTAATTAAATGAATCAGTGTATAATGACATCCGGGATCGTCTGGGGAATACTCGGCGATCATCGGCAACCATCGTTAGCACTCGGGGCACGTAACCGTCGCAAACTCGCAAAGTGTGAAGGTGCTAGGGTAATAAAGAAGATGACTTCATCATGCATGATAGCAAGAAACGGAATCGGGAAGATGAGCGGGGAGGAGATGAGAGAGAGAATGCAGAAGGTCCGTAGAGATGTATCGCTTTACTTATTGCCTGTAATGTGTCCGACGATGATGTTGAGTGGTGTTTTGGTATCCTCCGTGGCCATGCCGTGAATGAATACGGCGATGAAATCGGAGCACAAAGAGGCTCCTGTATTAACCATACAGTTGAGAATATAATATTGCCTCTATGATATGTATGCCAAGGGCATGCAGTGCGAATGCTAACAAAATGAAGGTGTTTTTTGTATCAGAGCTTGGATATACGATGATGAAATTAGAGCACAAAGAAGCCCCCATATCAGCCATAGGCCTATATTGCATCTATGATATTTGCAAGTTTAAACCCAAAGCACATAGTGTAAACTTGAAAAAACGAACGGTGTTTTCGGCATCCCTGGAGCACAAGAGGCTCCTGTACACACCCTCTAAGATATAAAGCGCATGGTAACGCAAAGTTGTACAGAATGGTCACTTATGGATTACAGATTTATTTTCTGATAATGTAAATCTATGGATGATTTTTACTTTTCCGATTGTAAAAACAATTTCATATTTTAGTGATCAACCTAAAATGTATCTACAACCATCCTTTACTGTAAGCTGATAATTATTTTCCAAATTTTTTGACGAAAGAATCATCATGATAAGATAAACTGTATCCATGCGTTATGAGTAAAATTCAAAAAGTTTTAAATCTACATATACAAGCTTCTGGTTATCAAAGAAATAATAATAATAATAATATTTAATTTTTATATAGCGCTTATTACAAATGTCTCTAAGCGCTTTACAAATATACTATTACCCCGGTCATTGGATTCAGTGCTCCACTCCCTGGGGAGCATTCCAGCCAGGCGTTACATAAAACCCCTCAAACACCTCAAAAAGAGCTAAACAGTACCAAACTCTATCTCATTTGATGGAAAGCGAAGAGTGCATGGTGTGTCCTTTCTATTATTCACGACCAAAAGAAGATTTTTGATTGCCTCGTATAACGTGAAATATCGGCACAAAACACTCTTAAAATCACTCCCTTCAATCTTCCCAAAACAAACGAAATCTGTAATAGTCACGATTCGCCTGGCAAACGATTCTTACCGTTTTCTTACCATGCTCATCATTTAAACATCGATTTCATCATCAGAGCTCAATAAAAACAAACTCACTGATTATTCTTTTTCGAAGAGGCTTTAGTACTGATAGAAATAGAAAATTATTAAGACGATGAATTCATTTTCCTGATAAATTTTGAACAGGGTATCTTTTTAATTTCGAAGTATACTAGAGTTCTCATTGTCAAGCTGCAGATTGTTCATCATAGGAGTAAACCGTACCAAAGCACCAGCACTTAAAGACACATACGGGACTATTGGTATGCCCAGCATTTCTCAAGTCTGCTCATTGTTTTCCCTTTTCTTTTAGGTTGTCCGTTTTTAACTTGTTTACGACTGAATTCTCTCCTTCCCATAGGCTTAATACAGCGTCCAACCGGTTCCAGTAGGCAATGAGTTAACAGGATGTATGTAATAGGCATGATATGCAAACTGCCGTTCGGTTATAAACTATCATAAAGTCACAAATGTAAACGCCTACATAGATCGAACGTATTGATAATTAAACATTTCTGATCATCACTGCAAAGGAATATTTCCTAAACAATCCTTGCATCAATGTTCAATACGTGTACTGATGTATGATAATTATGTTGACTGCTAACGAATGCATCGATGTTTTAAGCTATGAGTGTAATCAAATAATTATTATTCTCACAATCTGTACATTGATGGCCAACACGTCTGAGATATCTTCTTTGTGTAGAGTGCAAGAATAGGATTCGTACACAATAATGAAACCTAGAGAAAGAGACAAAATTCTCATTAGTATAATCATCCTAATTCCTTTTTTTACCAAGCCGTGCAGACATTAAAAAGAAGGCGTTACCATAAACAATGTTTTTGCCATCTTTTCTGAAAGATGTAGCGCATCGCAACTGTAAAGATTTGGTAGTCTGTAGTGCATGCCTTGGGTGAAAAGTGCGCATACGAAAAAGACGTCATGGTACGTCAATTCGGAGCTCAATATTCTCACATTTCTACTAAGAACCCACCTTTTCCGTCTCACTTAGTAATGTTTATAATACATATCCTTACTTATGATATCAGTCATTATTGTAGTTATATGTAATACACATGTAATGATATCACTTAGTTAGTCTAAGTTACATTTACCTTTGCTTCGTTGTAATGTAAGTTGCTCATGACTTTTTTTTTGTTTTTAATAAAATTGTACTCTCCCTTGATTAGTATTTCGTTCTTTTTAATGGGTACTATGTTGCTCATTTTGCTCGTTCAGGTTATAAAGAAACTTATCATGCGCTTTATAAATATTGTATTATTATCATCCTTATTAATATCAATGAATCTTGATACGTAGGTAAAGGGGCTAAGCCTTTAAGGATGGACACTGATAATTACATTTCAGCAGTGTTAACAGACCACTAATGTACACGAACGTCACGCTTCGAATTGGGTGTAATAATAAAAATGCATGAAAAATCAGCGCTCCACGACTCATAAATCGCGCTTCTCCTTTTATGGTCGCCATCAAGATATGCGGCAATATCAATCTATTGGCCCATTGTTCGCACTCCTAAATTACAGGTAATACGTTTTAACCAGATTAATTTTTGAAGCCTCGGAAGCAAAGTGGACGCCTGATTAGGCAATGTATATTAATTGAAGGACGACAGACAAGACAGTGTTGGAACGAAGATCGTTAATGGTCGAACTCCACAAGTGATTTGCAACCATAAATCGTCATCAGCTCGCAAGAACGTCGTAAGAGATATGTTATTTTAATGGCAGCAATTTATGGAAAATTCTCTCACCGCTTTTGATTTGATGTCACTTATGATGATGGCTAAATTTGGGAGCCCAGTATTTTCTCCTGCAATATCAGCTTGAGACTTTATTTTGTCAAAGATATAGGGTTAAACAATTATTGTGTTTAATGTTAACTAAAGTGTTTGGTCTCGGATTGAAGTTAGGGATTCTCTTAATGTTTCAAATTCGACCGCGGAGCAATTATCATCACAGCATCTATCGTAGAATCCTTAACAAATTGATGAATTTTAATATTTTTAAAATATGAACCCCATAAAACAATCCCTATCCAGGAAATCTTTCACAAAAAGTTTGCAATTTTTTTGCACTAGGATTCTCCAAAAGCACCACTGTTGAATGCAATCCAATATTGCAATTTCAACAAAATGGATACATGATTGTTAAACATTGATTACCTTGCCTTTGTGTAACATGAAATCCAAGCTGATCAAATTTTGTCACAGGTGTTTCATGATGGCGTAAACAGATGACGATGGAGACAATTTTAGAAGAAGGGGATGAATACTTGTCTCGTTTGTGTCGTTTCACTTTCCACACATCCTATCCACTCAACCAATACAAACGTGAACTCATACTTGAGATATTGATGACCTGTATTCATGATAGTCATGATACATACTCGAAAAACTCTTAAGGGATGTATTTATTTTGTGCTCTGAAGATACCATATTTTGCCATATCAAGTGTTTTCCACACCCTCAAGTGTAGCGCTAGGCTAATATTTGCATCGTATGGGCAATCTGTGCTCCGGTAGTTAAACATCTGTATTGGATTTCGGGAGGAATGAAAACTGATTCTATGCGCTACATAGTTACATGCAAAAAATCAATTCCATTGCTACTGTCCATATCGTGATTTTAGTACAAGGTGTCCCAAAAAGAGGCAACGTGAATAATGTCCATACATAATAATGACCTAAATTGGATTTCGGTATGAATGATTCTAAGAGCACTAAAGTTAAGTAACATTGCAAAAGAAAAACAGTTCCAATGCTTTAGCACTTAATTTATCTTGATTTCATTACAAGGTTTCCCTAAAAGATAACATGTGAAACATTTCCGTGCATAGCACTAGGCCTTTATTTTGAAAAAGAAAAAAAGAAACAAGGACTAAATAATATGTCAATCGCTTTCTTTTTCTTTTTTCAATATAATATTTCCTAGATATTACTACAATCTAAAGCTACTTCTAGGAGAAACTCTAACAAGATATACAAATGATAATTCTAAGTGATTTTTAGTAACTCGGGCATTTTACGTCCATGTCATGCCGTTCGATACAGAGAGCAAACAAAACGCAAATTGTAAGCTAATGTATGCATTGCACCCCCAAACAAGTGCGCCTAGCTGCCATGCGAAAACCCACAGGTGTTTCCAAATACGCGAATTATTAATGGCGATAAAACAGATTTATACTGTGATATGACGATAATAATAGCTCTATTGAGATTGCTTAACCCAAAATTCTGGTGGAGATATAGAGTTTATAAATCTATCTGATTAGTTTGTTTTAACAGCTGTTTATCAAATCATTGCAAGGCACGAGCCTTGTTCATGATTTTATGCAATATCAGATTGAAAATCACATTCGATCCGAAGACCGAACATTTCAGTAGTTTCATAACGGGTAAGAATAAGCTTGTGAAAATTGCAAAGAATAACACGAAATAGAAACGTATTTCAAACAGGACAGGAGCTCCAAGATAATCAAAAGCTTTAAGCCCTGTGAGCACTTTAATACTTAACACTCCTTTGTCTAAATTTCCTATGAGTTTAGGTTTTTTCCAATTAATTCACGACCAATTTTACACAACGGTCGCTTTACTTTGTCAAATGGGAGCATACCTATTTGTGCAGTTTAACTTGTAAACCGATCGATAAAGTCCAGATTAGAGGGTTTTGATTCAAGGTTTTCTCAACCCGCTGATAGAGGCCATCCTATGTAAAGAATGAGGTGACCTTAATGTGAAGTTGTTGTCTTCTATCTCTATACTAGCGGTGGTAAACAAATCTGTTTTTCTTGTTCCACATCAAGCCGTAATCGATTTTTGTGATTTCCCTTAATGAAAACCCCAATCAATATGTCTGGAGATTGAGGTGTATAATCAGATCAAGTATATAAGAAATTCTGTTCATATATCATTAATATTAACCCAAAGAGCTATTTTATAAGAATTTACCCACTAAACCATAATTCGGCAAAGCAGATCCTTCGTGTTGTTCACACATCACGGTGTTGATATCTGTGTTATACGAAAATCAGATTAAAGGCACGTAATACTGTTGAATATAGTTAAATGCTGTAGAGTCTGATTTATATGGGAATCATGCAAAGTAATCATTGTCATAAACAGATTTCCGTCAATTTATGATAAACTGCATAATTTCCCGGTTTTTAAAATTAAATTTATCTAACTTAATGGAAATGCTTATTTGTTTCTTAAATGTATAGGTACTAAAATCAGTAGTTACAACAATATTTTCTATGTTTGTTTTAATTCTGTTGCAGGTTTCATCAGCCGAGAGATGAATGAATTGCTCAAAGATGGTCGGTTAAGTTACACCGATGTTTACCGTGCTCGATTTGCCCAGCTTGAGAAGGATATCATCGGCACCCTAGCACCGGAAGACCTCCGCTGGTACAACGCCAAAGTGGGTCTCGCCATCCCCAACTTCGCCGCTTACCGCTCACCGTATTCGATGGTACATCATCCCCACGCGCGTCATCAGCACGAAAAGACGCTGACGCGAGACGGTATCGTCCACAGCGAGCCACCGCGTCTCCCCGGCGGCGGAATCCCTCTAACACCAAGCAACGTCCGCATCCCCGATCACCACCACCCGCATCATCTCCAGCAGCGGTTATCACCAGAGGTCGACGAGGTTAGCGAATCGAAGCTCCTGGATTCGCCGCCGATCGGCATCGGTCCGCATTGCACATTCAACTGTTTGGACTGTGGAAAGGTGTTCAGTACACCGCATGGGCTGGAGGTTCACGTGCGACGTTCCCACAGCGGTAAGCGTCCTTTCGCCTGTGACATTTGCCAAAAGACGTTCGGCCACGCGGTCAGTCTCAGTCAGCACCGCGCCGTTCACTCGCAGGAGAGATCGTTCGAGTGCAAGCAGTGCGGAAAGACATTCAAGAGGTCATCAACGTTGTCAACCCACATGCTGATTCACTCAGACACCAGACCATACCCGTGCCAGTATTGCGGCAAGAGGTTCCATCAGAAGTCGGACATGAAGAAACACACCTACATACATACAGGTAAATAATCGTACCACTTGTTATTGCTCGGGAGCTACCATAGTGATGCAAAACAGTTAGTTGAAAACACATTAATGCCTAAGGGGTCAGTTATGTTGACAATCAAGCTGTGCTCTTTGTGCCATTATGCTGCTTAGAGTCTACATCATCATCACGCTCCTTTGCAGTCCATTCTTGCAGTCAGGGAATATTCGTAGTCACTTAATATATATTTAGATTTTCAAACATGTTTACATCTACTCATGATTCCAGGTCATTCTTTTTTTTTGCATTGGATCTATCTGAATTAAATTATTAAGTTTACTTCATGGTATTATACCAATACGTGATAAAAACCCCGAGTAAGAATGTGTGTTCCTCAATATTATATATTTCAAAACAAAATAGTGAAAGAAAATAAATGTATAGGCTCTTAACCACGTCATAAAAGCACTTTATGCTTGAAGACTTATTGCTCAAGGCAAAGGGAAAGGGATGAACATTTGAAAGTTGTCCTGTCTTTCAATCATTCCCTTTACTTCTTTTCGACTGAACAATGTCGAGAGACAGAAAACAAGATACTTAAGGGATTGCTTTTCAAAGATTACATCATACATTCCGCAGTAGAGGGGAGATGTAAGAAAGGATTTGCGAAGGTAAATCTGTTTCGATCGCTCAAAATCAATCTTTCTTGAAGCAAATACAATTTGCAGGCGAGTCATCTGATCGATATTTCGCCCAAAAGACTGCATCGATTCGATTGGCGGGGCCGAACGAAGGCACGGGAGAGGGCGGACATAAAAGGCAAAATGAAAGCTCTAAGCAGATTTGTAAATAATCTAAATCTTAATCTGTTGTTCCCAGACTTTGTTTCAAAAGCCCTGTTCAAGAAACGGTCCCGTTATCGACCTCGATCGTCGCGATTTGAACCGCATAGCGATCGATGCATTCTTTGGCGCCAAAATGGGGAGGTGATTTTTTTATCGTCTTTTCGTTCATTGTGTAATGCGTTCACATGTTGGTTTTCGCACGATTCTTATTTTTACGATTCGGTGAGGTAGAAAGTTTGGTTTATGGTGAACTCTTAAAACATTGTCAATTCGCATAAATAATTGATTGTTATTGATCGAGATGACTTTAAAAATAGTTCCGTTTGTATTCAGATTACTTTCACTGACTGTCCTGATGTGGGTTGTGTGCGCATGTGTGTGTACGCGTCAGGCGGAGCATACACATCACACTCTTATACACCGTTTAAAGACATCGACAAATCAAACTCATATTCATTTCTCACACTAACGACGGCACTATCCTTCACGCATTTTACCCCACCCCCTCCCATCTTTCAAAGATGGTGTGAATTTACATCGCGCTTAGCATCTTATTCATGTACATGCCAACAGGTTTCAAGGGATGAGCCAACCATATCTTGTCCTAATCCCTTCGTCAATATCACAAATCTCTCAAACAGCCCAAACCGACTCTTTACTTCTTCTTTTTTATTTTTTATCCCCGGATCGATTTGATCCCTCTGCCGAAGCAAATCCTTCGACAAATCCTTTCACTGTTGTCATTTTGTGGCGTAACAGGCCCCGTGTTGAATACCGTTAATCGCAAGCCAAATCTCTATGTAACCCTCAAGAAAGAAATCAATACAGCATTCCAAAACGGCAGTGAGCAGTTTCCTAATTCATCACTTTCTGTATTATAATATATTACCACAAACAGTGATGAATATATACGTCATAGTAATATGTTCTCTATACCTTCCGTATGTTTTATTTTATTATTTTCGAATCACCAATAGCTGTTACCCTACACATTGTCCTGATCAAATGGTATTCACAAACAAATTAGTCCATAATCAGCCATTCCTTAAATAGAATATGTTTCTTAGAATCATTATTTACTCAGGCTACTTGGCATTTTCTACAAATAGAAAAAGACAAATTAAATGGATATTTCGACATTTTGACACGAGATGAAAAGAACCTGTGCAACGTCAGCGAGGTAATTATAATAGAGTAGTTTTAAGAAAATAAGCCTATACAGTTCCATTCCAAAAAAAACGTGTGCTATTTCCGAATGAAAATCCACGTTTGGATTTTATGGTGTCCTAAACCCGTTTCCTAATCTTTGAAAACACGAACCCCTAATTCCTTACAACATGGGTTTTTCTTTTGCCTGATCTTCACCTAATCGGATAACTAATATGTATAGTGGTCCCAAAACAAAATGGTGGCCTTTAGAACGAGCATATGTGATTCTTCCCACATAACAAAAGGCGTTGTTGTCAAAACTTTGTGACTGAAGCCAGCCAACATGGTTTTCAATCAGTACTTTAGCACTTTTATCCCTGCTTTACAGTTGTCCCCCTCTTGAACAAAAGACGTGTAGTCCGATTATCTTCAAGGGCCTTGGATAGGACTTGGACTTGGTCTTTAATAAGCAGGGATCAGTACTTTGACACTACCGACCGACTGGTTTCTCTTTCTCAATGTTGTAGTCCGATTAAGGGACAATAATTACAAGGCGATGAATTATTCTGTGATCCCCTAATCTCGGAGTAAATGACAGTAGCCTAACCCAAACGCAGTAATTTTGCTCTTTATCCGGGTGTACGTCACAATCGACACAAGCTCGTCCGTTATTACCACACACCGAACAATATCCGAACTGAAAACCTTGGCAAAACACTGTACCTAACTAGTTGTCGTGGTATAGTGGTTCGTTCACTAGACTCTCAATCGAAGGGTTGAGGGTTCAAATCTTAGCCCTACACTAATATCCTGGCATTGATCCACATTTACCACTCTCCACCCTGGTGTAAATGGGTACCTGGCAGTCACTGGGGTACTAATAACTACGGTGCCCTCTGAAAGAACAGCATTGAAGCCGATGAGGCTGTGCTAGGTAAACAAAAATATAATAATAAATATCATTATAATTGATATTATTCTTTAGTATCATCAATATCGTTATTATTATTATCATCTTCATGATCACCATTACATAAATAAAACCCAATCGCAACAATACCATAACCCTGAAGTTCTGATTAATTATTGTCGGTGGAGCAAACGTTAGACTTCCTTTCCGTCATTGTCCAATACCACAGATTACCATGCACTGTGTAAGATTATGCTCGTTAATAAGTCGAGATCACTTCCCGAGTTTCTGAAGTAGCGGGTAATGACAGGACGAGTGGGCAATTGACAGTAAGAGGCGTATCGCTTCGGGTTAGATTTCTCTTCGAGTGCTTCGGTTTATCTTGATGACACAGATTCAAGTCTCTCTTCGTGTCGCCCTTGGCTTTGCATTACATTTAAACTGGGTGATTTTTTTTGGCCGTAAATGCTATTTGTTTTGTTCATTTGTGGATCTTTAAGTTTGATGGCATTCTGAAATATTCGCAAGGATAGATCAAAATCTACAAAGTTTTTTTAAGCAGAGCTTCGCCTGGAAGTCTTTTATATTATCAGACATAACTCAAGTTGAAGGTTTAAAATTATTGTAATCAGACAGTGAATAACTTGGAAGAAAAACAAGCAAACTGCAGAGGTCAGTACCTCGTCATTAATTCAAATCATAAATTCTCAATGTTTCCTCACTCGAAACAATATACCCTACTTGTCTATATCAAAATACATAGTGGCCTACATATTGAAATACATGTCTGGTAATACGTCAGCAGTGACAAAACACATCGCAATGTCATAACATTCAGGTAAAAAGTGCTGAAGCATGGGAATGTCATAAAATTAAATATAAAGTAACATTTAAGAAGCAAAACCCAACAGATAAAATATCAGCGTTACTGTGTACATTGTCGCCCTTGAAGGGACATTAATTTACTACAGATTCGAGTATAAACTCCTCCAGTGATAGACTGAAAAGGAGAAACAAACTCTTATGTTAGGAGTAATCCTTCACTCGGATCATACCATTTAGATTGTGCAACTTTCTTGTTTATTCTTGTCTGAAAAGTGCCAGAGACAGCAAACGCAGCGGGTAGGAAACGATCATAAAATAACGCGGGAAAATAGAATCTAGAGTAGATACAATAGAACAAAGTACACGTATAGCGGGAATTAGCTGATGCTATCAATCAGATTACGCTGTTTCAAGATTACATTATTATTTCTCCCTCTCCGAGGTAAACCAAACAATGGGAAAAACTGCAGGTGGAAATATGGCGGTTGTATCATCACCATAACAACATCACTTAACCCATTCTCTCTTGGATGCACGCTAACAAGGAATATCTTCAGACGATTTAGGGAAGAGAGGGGTTAAGAATTCACCGTCTTCGCTGGTTGTAATAGGTTTATTTTCCATTATCTCTCGTTTTCATAGAGGAAGAAGCGATTGAGATTTAATACAAGCCTGAGAGTTTCTGCGTTGTCCTTTTTGTCAACTAATATTTGTATCTCCCGATTTTCTTTTTAGAAAATGATTGGAAAAGTACAGTAAATCTCATAAGCCGATTTTGATATAGAAATGAAGACTTTATTCATGGGGAGTAAAACTCGGTAAAATAATTGACGATTGGATATGAAACTGATGACATTTTAGCTGTATCGCTTGGAAAAGCCCTTGACGTTGTAACATTTGTTTCTTTTCCATGAAGTCTAAATGTCGAAATGCCAAGCTCTTTTCATATCTTAAAATGGTTTCCTTTCATGAAGAGATTGTCCTTGTAAAAGCACATCTCTGCCTCATAGCTTCCAAAAGAAAGATTATTTTTAAAAAAAACCTCTGAAGCGCCATTTACCCCATCCTATTCAATTCTTTCTATTTCACCCCTCTTCTCTCTATCTCTCACTCCCTTCTTTTCACTTTCTCAATATATTTTCATTATCCCATCTCTCACTCACGCTTCTTTCCTTTCCCTTTCTCTCTCACTCTCGCTCCTTTCCTTTTCTCTCTCTCTCTCTTTATTCATTCTTATACCCTCTCTCAGTCTCTCACATCTTCTTCTTTTAATCTTGTTCATCTCCTATTCTTTCTATTTCCACCTC